CCGTCTGTATATATGTTCAAATTTAAGTCTTCAGAGCTCAAAAGCTTTTAAAGACCAATTTTACACAATGTTATGCGTTAGGGTTCATATTTTAGCAGTGTAGTGAAATTTCATGTTCCTTTTGTAGCTGGATTAAGTTTAAAGAAAAAAGTAACAACATTTACTATGTGATTTAGTGAAATAGTTTTTGCACCAACAGACAGAGTGCTGTTGCAGGTTGAACTTGATTTTGTTTGTTTGTACCTGATCATAAATATTTATGGAAATGTCAAGTGATTGTTCTCTGGCTCTGCTGTATTTTACATTCTCATGTTAGCAAATATGCCATCTTTAATGCCCATGAGGCATATGTTAACATATTGTATATTTAATGTTTACCCATGTTATCATTGTAAATATTTTACTGATCCATTTTATAGCAACTTAGATAAAATATATAAAGGTCAACTATCCATGTATATTTTTTATGGAATAGTCTGGACAATTATAGATTTCAAATCTCAATTGTAGCACTTCAGTGGTAGCCTACAGTAATTTCCTAGGATATCTTACATGGGATGCAAAGCTGATGAGTTCTAGTAATTGTTGTGAATCTAGGTGAAATTTATTCCAATAATGTGCTTCCCACTGTTATACTGGGCTCTAATTATAGCACAAATTTGAGTAGTTTGCTCAACTGAAATCTGCAGTTTAAGAGTTTTGTCCTTAGGCTCACTACAAGACAAAATTTATTGCATCAAATATTGTTTTGCCTCTTTCTTTTATTCAACTTTCAACTTAACGAAGCTTTTACTCTTCTAGGTTTTATCTTTCTTTTTAATTTATTATCCCTTTAGATTTCTACTTGGCTAAGCTTTATTTTACAATTTACTTTTTATTGAATTTCACTCTTATTATTCCACTAAAAAATTCCAATGTTGCGGGTGCAACAATCAGATCCTGAACCATTGGCTGAATCTTCTAGGCATGCAACCCAAACATGAAAATCTCAATCAGTTGTGAGACAAAAGTCACAAAACTGTACTGAATGTGTGTGAACTTTAGTAGACCACATTTGAAGTGCTGTGCTTTTCTCCCTTTATTGGCTTAAATCATATAAACTTGGAGAAGTTTCTGGTATTCACAAACTCTGGGTTGTCATAGCTTTTGACTTGAGAAAAGAAAGAAGAAGAATGAAAAGTCTTGGTTCCATCTTCATTCACATGGCTAGGGTGCATAATAATTTCTTAAGAGGAGATTGCTCGACAGTTATAAAAATCATTCAATGTTATGTTAATGACCCGGAAGGAAGAACTTTGTTGTTTTCATTACAATTCAAATTTGTGCGTTTTCTTATTTAGGCATACTCCTGTCCTCCTGTCTCTAGTTTATAACCTTTACATCTTTTAATTGATGGAGTAAGTTTTCATCCTCGACCATATGAAAATAAGAATTGTACTGTTATATTATATTTCATTATTTTGATGAGTAATTCTTGAGTCTGGATTTGGTTCATTGAGCAATTGTATATCGTAATGGAAGATAGAGTGACAAAGGACTCTACCGAAAAATTTAGTATGTTTTGTTGTCGCTTCTTATAAATCTCACTACTTTACCTGATATTATATGCAGTTATATATGTGTGTCACCTTACCCCTTCATTGCTATGAATTTTTTTATCTTCAAGTTATAAACTTAAGCCTTTACATCCTTATCCCAGAATGGAAGGCATGAACAGTTTCTTTCTAACAAGATTATTGTATATTATGTTAAAGGGGCTGAATTCAGTTAATTGTACGTGCTTCGCCTTCCCCCAGTCATTTTACCTTCCAACATAATAACGTTTTGATGATAGAGTAAAAACACTGCAATGTGCTTGAATATGCTCTATTATCAATATTGCTATTGATGTATCTCTTTCTATGTGTACCACTTTTGACTCCTCAAAATTTTACTACTTGCTTGAAGAATTCCACAGTAAATATATTTCTGCATTTGTTAAATGCATTTCAAATCAACACCGCTGCTTTTTCAGAACTTGTGAATACCTTAGAAATAAGTGGTTGCCTCAGGGTTGTCATTGTATAGATTTTCTGTCAGATGTAGATCTTTAAAGAGAAATTCTTTGCAAGCCAAAAACATCTTTAAATTACAATTTAATATAAAAATTTGTCTAAAAAGTTGTCAGTGTTTTTGTAAATTTGGAATTGTGAGAAATTCCACCTCAGTAAGAGATATACCGATACTTTGGTTAGAATGTGGCTAAACACCATGAATGACTTGATGTATTTTGTTTTCTTCTTTTGATAAATCATGGGGTTTGCTCCTGTTATCTGCTTGAAACACAGTGATGCTGGTAAATTATGCTTAATTTCTTGTTTATAAAACTATTTGAATATTTTACCCTTGGCTTCTTTTTCAGGGAGGATGGACAGATTTTATGGGTGTATTCCAAATTAATTTTCTGTTTACTTTATCTCTGAGGAGGAGTTTTATGGCCAAATTAAACTTATATAAAGGTATCATCAAAATGGGAATCAGGACCAGACAGCTGTGTAGTACAAATTCAATTTGGTGCACTGAGCAGCCTACCCACTCACATTTCATTGACTTATTATCTGCCCTTCATGGGGCAATAATTGCCCCTTGACCACAATTTTTGGGGTCTGAAATGCATATCTCTGTGTTGCTTTTGTATGTAAGATTCTTTTCATATGCAATTATTTTTTTATACTTATGGTACCATCTGGTCAATCGGCACTGAATGAATTGCTTGAAGTTTGGTGGTTTTGACAGAAAATGGACCTTTTTTTGTGTGTCAGATTTTCCAACAGCTTTTGCTATGTTCACTGGCGAAGCAACATTAGAGTTATCACTGTTTTTAAGTGAGACATAGATATTCTATTTAAGGTAAGTGAAGTACTTAGGCTTTTTTTATTTTTTGAGATTCTGTGATTTGTACAAATCATTGAAAAGTAGATTCAATGATATTGTAAATATTTGAGTACTCTTAGAGGAATGTGTACTCTGTGTTCATAACTCAGTTGTTTTCTTTATTTTACAAGTATTGAATAATTATAGAAAATTGTCGGAAGTTTGAATGACTTAAATGTGTCTTCAAAACTCAACCCCTATCACCACAACTAATTGGAGTGATGACCCCTTCTTGTGAATATTCTCAAGCAAAGGTCCTTAGCATCCTAAGACAAGATGAAGCTTCCCTTTATATTGTGGTGATTTTAGTCTTCTGAGACTGACTGGTGTTTTGAGTGGATTCTGAAACAGAGGAAACCATTTTGAACCAATGCATTCTGTAATTATGAAAGTACACATGCTGTCGACAACTTTCCAACCACTGTATTGTACAGTGATTAAATAGGTACCTGAATTGTTTGAACAACAGAATGCCTATTCTAACTTTCTGACATAGAGATAGAAGAATCTCTTAAAGAGCAAAAGTTCTCTCCTATTTGAGTTCACTTTCTTGATAGATCCTTCTTTTTGCTGACGTTGGATGCATATGAAGGTGCATGAAGATGTAGAAATTCATTATGGTTGAAATGAAAGGTACAGAAACTCATGGATATTATATGATTAGCCAGAGCATTAAACTGGAAATCCTCACTTTGTACTTTGTAGAGAAAAAAAGGAACAAATAAAGTGATTTTAGTGTGAGATCTGTGCCAGCCTGCTATGTTGTTTGAGTCTTCTAAATTAAGAGAAGAACAAGAAAACCAAAACAATAAATAAATAAATAAAGTAACAAAGGATACAATTAACCATCTTTGTTTCTGTTTAGTTGGATGAATGCCAGTAAATTTGTTTGTTCAATATAGTTTGTCATTATGATATTCTGTTATTTTTCATTTTCAATTTCAGGTTTTGTCACGATTCACTACTTCTCTAGTAGTAACCTTTATCAATTTCTATTTGCTGCTACTACTACTACTACTAGACACACATACACATGTATATTCATGTTCTGAGAATTTCCTATCTGCCCATTTCAGTGAAGTTGATGACTTTGCAAATATATTCATGGCCAACAATATTGTCCATACCCTTGTTTTCTGAGATCATGTTTTTGTTTATGTTATTCACAATATGCATATCTTCTGCACACACACACACACACACACATAAACATTATAATGAATTAATATTATGATGAATTTCTAGGTTCAGACAATTGTTGATGTAAAATTGTAATCTCTACTGGAACTGAATTATTGTGTAACTGAGTTTAAAAATTATTAAGTGGAACGTAACCGAAGGGATTGCTTTAATGTCATTTTATATTCTGCATGATCATTTTAGAAGCTAAGATGAATGCTCTGTAGGTCTGAGCCCCTTCACTCACATTGCAGTTGCCAGCTCTTTCTCATTTAGCTATTGCCAAAATTTGGTACAAATTAGTGCTGACCTAGATTAGCCAATAAGTGAAACTATCATCATCTCATCATCTAATATACCCAGTTGTTTTAGCGGTTCATGGCAGCAACATATGATATTAATATGGCAAGGTGACAGAGGCAACAAGTTGAACATTGCAACTACAGGTTAACTGTCCTTTTAGTTCCCCTTTCTCCTTTTTCTTTCTTTATGTTTTCTATTTGATCTGAATCTATATTGATGTTTTACATGCTAGTGCTGCTTTGTTCTGAGTATTTTGTTTCTTTCATTGAAGATATAAAATTTTTTTGACACCACATCAGAGATATGATATTGGATCTTGTTTTTGAAACTGGATTCATGAAATAGATTATTCAGCCATATTTTACAAAAATTAGTATTTACATCCTCTGTAGGGCTGGTTTTCCTCCAGTCCCTTTACACCTATGATTTACAGTTTGTATTAAAATATTTTACCCTTTCTCTTAACGCCCTTTCAGTCTTCCTAGGACACATAATTTATATGAGAAGGCTCGTGAATATAAAAGTAGCTCATAACCTTTTTGGTTAAGGTAAATTCCCACATGACTTTAGGGCCTCTTCTTTTGTAATATAGCACGTGGCGACTGTCATGAGAAGGGTATTGCCTTTTGAAATATTCTTTGTCCAGGAGCAAGTATTGCCAGAGGGTCGTAAGCAGATTTTCTCTGCACAAAAGCTTCCCAGCGTGGGCCAAAGTGGGCCTGCCATTCTTTCTTTGTAGTGTAATGGGGTAGATATTGCTTGACCCCAAGATGGGCTGTTTCACAGAATTCTAGAATTCTTTTGTTCTGAGTTAAGATGTGTTCTAATCCTTCAGTTCCAGTTGAAGAGGGAACAGCAGATGTGAGGAATGCCACTAAGTAGAAAATACGTTCCTCCGGTATAACTACGGAAGTTCTGTTGTCCCACCTGAAATGAGAATTAATAGATCAATCGTTAAGGCAAACAATGGAGACTTTTGGAGATAATGACACATTTGTTTTAACTGTTACTTTGATCTGTTAACTGGATAGATGAGGATGGGGCCGTTGCTTGTTGCTGTAAGGATACTGCCAAAGACTTCTTCAGCAAAAGTGTGAATTTTGCTTTTTGGTATTAGAAGATTGAGCCATGGGTGTGGAACGTCCCACAAATCTTTTGATCGTAATTTGATCTCAGACACATGTACCCTGTCCAAGAAATCTATGTATGCAACTTCTGACATGAACAGCGTTGAACGGATATAGCTTAACCGAGACAAGTACTTCTCAACTTCCTACATGCCAGAAAGAAATGTATGAGTGCGATGTTAGTTATGTAGTTACTCATATATACAAATTTAACAACTATTTTCTTGTGAATTTAGGCATTTTAAAGTACTAGGCTTCTGGTGGGCCATTTCAAGCCTCACCTCATTTATTAAGTCAGTCTTGTCCAGGTTGAAGTATTTGGCCAATTCTAGGCAGAAGAGGGTTTTTCCATCTGACTTGAACTGGCTGGCCTGAACTGGGTCCTTTGAATTGAAGGATGATCTCCAGTTGTTTAGCAGACCGGTCCGGTTTATTATCACAAATCCCTCAACATAGTCAAATGTATTTTCTGAAGATATTAGATGCTCCTGATCTTGGGTAAAGGCTGCAAAATCTGAATACAGGACTCTAATCCATTTTACCTGTTCAAAATGGAGAATTGGGTTAGCAACTGGCACTTTCTACTCCACCTGGAAGCTTAACTTTTGACACATTAGCCTCAATGATGTATAGTTTTTACCCTTGCAGGTGCTGCTTCCAACGATATTCTCGCCCGGGTTATGATGCCAAACTGACCAAGCCCTCCAAGAACACTATGAAATAGGTCTTCATTCTGCTCCTCTGAACAATTTATAACTTCCCCTTTTCCTGCACTCATGTTTGGTTCTTCTATTAGTAAGAATTGATGCTTTGCACGCAATAAACTAATTACTTAGAAATTTTTCATGAGCTATAGCCAGAGGATCTTTCATGAGACCAAAGGTCAAAGTAATGACATGTTTAATGAGCAAGCCTGGCGACTCACAATTCAGTTTGAAATTAAAAATTCAGACAAGACAAAATACATGTTACAATACTATAATTTTCCCATGGCATTGCCACGTCTGATCATTGACGTTGGTCTTTTCTTCCGTGGTGTAATATATACAAATATATATATATATATATATATATATATATATCACCACAGAATAGTTTCGCCACCCCACCACCCCACCCATTCCCCCCCTCCCCTCTGTTTTAGTTTAACAAACCTGTGACAACTTCCAGCTGGTGGACATTGCTGATCTGGGGACCATGCCGGAATGCCTGCCCGCTGATCCCAGCATTAGACAGAGTACCACCAATAGTTAGATGTAGGTAGTCTGTCCATGATTTTGGCGCTAATCCATATTTCAAGCTTTCATGCAGGATATTTATCCACAACTCACCACCAGAGACATCCACATATGGAGAACTTCCAGTGTAAACTTGGATTTCAGGGCCCTCGAGTGATTCCATATTGATGACAACTCCTCTTTGGGTTTGTGCCTGGCCCTGGAGTGAGTGGCCATGGCCTCTAGCTGCAACTGTGAGCTCTGAATGAGGACCCATATCCCAAATATGCTTAATTGTAGTGGCTATATCAGAAACCGTTTTTGGATGTAGTACTGCCATAGGGAGGAACTGATATCTGTTGCCAAAATCTCTGGCTGCATGGTGCACTTCATGAAAGTTGAAATGCCCATCGAGGGGAAGTGTATTCAATGAGGAAGTGTTTGGAGAACAAAGGTTCAATTTGATGGTTACACAGCTCACGAACAAGATCATGAAGCCTTTTATGATAAAAGTGTTCATTTGTTTAAGGAAGTAAACTGGTGGATACCTCATTTTTTCTGTTAGAAGAGATGAAGGTAGCTGAAGGTGAAGGAGTTTAATCTTTTAGTTGTTTCTTAGTAAGGAAGGGTAAAAGGCAAAAGAAGAGGTGTAGAAGAGCCAAGAAAATAAATGGTTGAGGAGGGAATTTAAAGGGGAAAGCTTTGGGTGGCTGAGTCAACCCATCTTCATGTTATGAGAATCCGTAAGAAGACTGCCTACTTGGGTGGAAGAGTTTTAGGATTTTCTTTTAGTTCTCTTTTTGGGGCTCTTTTGTTTATAAGAGAAGGCATCACACATATGCCAAGTTGAATGGAAAAAGTCACAAGAAAGAAAGATTTCACAAATCTTTGCACTTTTTCTAACAGTTGCAACCACAATCTCACCTTTTCCATTCTTTAAAATTTTCTGACTTAATGTTAATGATTTCTTCCCAATTATGGTAAAAATTAATGCCTCCGCAGCTCTGCCCGAATTCATATTGCTCCTCATCTGATGACAGGTATCCGGTATGCCCATATTCGTGTCTTGCTCACATGAATGATCAGATATGGTGCTGGCCTTTGAATCCATTGTTATCATAGTGTTAACATCCCGTATCTACTTGCAGATCGGATGAGAGAGACTGAGGCCTGCCCTTTATTCATTTGAGAGGGAGAAAGAGATGGAGCTGGTAGGGTTGTGATAGGGTCCATGTGACATGTGAAGTTGAAATGGTTTGTGTGCTTTTGTGGGGTGAAGTGGTATGATTGGTTTACATTGGGACCCCTTTTGGCTCACTTTGATAGGAGAAGAAGGAAGTAGGGCAAACTTGGGGATGGCAACTTGTAGGAAGCACTGAAAGACCAGCCCTTCTGCCCATCATCTGCTACTGCCGCTGCTATGAAGCCTTAGTTCCCAGCAAATGGACAAGTTTGAAAGATTCTCTTGTTTATATGTTTTTTTTTCCTTTTTCAAGTGCAATTAAATTAGTCTAGTTATCACTTTTCTTCTGCAACTTGTGTTTTTAAGCACCAATTAAAAATTTGCATCTCTATGGGGAGCATCTCATCTCCCCCTTTCCCCTTTCCCCTTTCCCCTTTTCATGCCTTCTTCAAAGTGTGATATGCCCTCTACATAATTTGTTTTGGAATTGTCTCTAATTCTCTATACTAACAAAAACAGTGGTCTTTTAACCTTTAACCTGTCTCCAAATATTGCAGAAGATCTTCTGAATTATAGCTGGCATCATACTTTTGTTCTATAATAGGACAATAATAGTGATGGATGGCAAGAAGCTAATAACAAATCGGGAAAATGGTGTCTAATATCATCAAGCGAGACTAGATGATGTCGGATGTTCTGTGTCCTGGACTGGACATAGGTGATCATCCATGCTAAATCAGAAGATTTCTCTTCTTTGGCTTGGAAGATTCTGACACCACAACCAACCAAATTTTATTTAGCGTTTGGAATTTTCTTTATTCAAAGACTCTTGTGTGTCTGGCGCATTGTGTCGACTTCTACAACAAGAGATTTGAAATTTGAAATTTTTAGGGCCCATTTGATAACCATTTCAATTTTAGTTTTTGTTTTTATTTTCTGTGCTAAAGTATAGAGGAAAAAGAGGAAGAATTGAAGTGAGAATGAGAGTGGAGATGGGATTGAGAGGGAAGATGAGAGGGATGAGTAACAAAGTGAAAAAAAAGTTTAAAAATTGAAATATATTTGAAATTGTGTTCACTTTAATAGATTTCAGTTTTTTGTTTTTACTTTTGTTACTCATTCCTTCCATCCTCCCATCTCATCATCCCTCTCAATTTCATCCTCACTCTCATTTTTCTTTACTCTAGCACAAAAAAATGAAAACTAAAACCTAAAAACTGCCCGCTTGAGAACCATTTCAATTTTAGTTTTTCATTTTCATTTTTTTTTGTGCTAGTGTATAGAGCAAAATGAGAGTAAGAATGAGAGTGAAGATGAGATTGAGATAGAGTACTGGAGGGGAGGATGAGAGGGAGAGGTAACAAAAGTGAAACAAAAACTTGAAAGTGAAAACAAATTCAAATATATTTCAGTTTTTAATTTTAGTTTTCACTTTTATTACTCCTCCCCTTTCATCTTCCCTCTCAATCTCATCTCCACTTTCATTCTCCATCTTTTTCCTCTATATTCTAGCACAAAAATGAAAATTAAAATGGTTATCAAACGAACTCTAAAATTAAAATAATTATCAAATGGGCAGAAAAAACTTTAACAACAGTTTCGAATATGCTAAAAATATTTAAGGATAGATTAAATAAATATATCCTTTCGGTTGCTAGAAGTTTACAGGCAAAGAAGATACCAACAGAGAATCTGCTAAAGGGTATGCAGTGGACAAATGAAAACGACATAATTATGACCTCAAGGCCAACAACATGATTATTTAAATAAATAAAAACCACATTTTTTGGATGGCATGAGTGGGTGACTTAGATTGGTCTGGTACAAGTGTCTTAATCTGCATACATAAATCTTTTGTTAGGATTATAAAATTAAAGATTGCTATAATTTGATATAGATATTGCTCATCACTATAGTTCCTCCAAGTGTGAACTCTAGTATTTAGTTTTAAGTCCTCTTCTCATTTGTGGACTTGTGGTGAAAAACCTAATCCTTTTTTATTGCATTCTTTCTGGAAGGAAACCGAACCCACCAATAAAAGAAATCAAGACTTGCATTAACTTGAGCATTTATATTGTGGGAAGACCCCAAATACTTATGTCCTGAGAACGAGAGAAACTCTTCTGGAATGGAGATAACACTTTTTGTTATTCTCGGTTAATAACTCAATTACATGTAAGATAACTTTTTTACATATCATTGTATTATTAACCGAAAGTAGTAAAATAATGTTATTCTCGTTATTGGTAAGTTTTTTTCATGAGGACCCATTATGGGCCTTTCTTGTCCATCCGATGCTCATGCGTTTGCAGAAGTACTTTAGTAGTGAAAAATATGTTGAATATAATCACCACACGTGTCATGGGTGAGATCGAAGGGCGGCTAAAGAGGGCCCCTTTGCAGTTTCCATGGTCAATTTGGTCATGTTAATGAAAGATCATCTATTAGATAATCGAGCAACATTGTTAGAGCCAAGACACTTTTACATTAGTGAATCACACTACTAAATATGTAAATAAGAATTTTTAGGTGTGACTGATATACTGAAATATGTGTTACGATTCACGTATCATAATATATGTGAATTACGTATACTAATATATCAAACTCATGTTATGAGATGATAAGTTAATCAATAGTATCACGTAACACTATTACGATCATACGAAACATAATTGTTAGATGATTATACCACACAGTCTCATTATAAGCAAGCACAATCTCAAGCATGAGATTGGCTAGTCGGAAATTAGAATCCTCGAATCATAACTTGGCAAGTGGGTGATGTGTCCACTAGGGCCGAGGAGATAGGTGGGATTGCCACATGAGGTTTGTAGCCGTCCTCATCATCAAGCTTGCCATTGAAGTTAAATAAATTATTGATGTGCTTAGAGGGCGAGTAAGACTGTAGGACACACAAAATTGGCGTTGGATGATTAAACCTATGAGATTATAAATTATTCTTATCATGTTCCCTAACCCACTTTTATTCCACTTTAATCAATGTCTTCTTGTCCCTTCAAATCCCTGCGGTAAATTAATCTAGGAAATAGAATCTCTTTGTTTTGCTATTGTTTTGTCGTGACTATCAAACTTTTCCATGAGGGTAAAAGTGAATTATAGATTTTATGCATCTCTCAATCTCTCATGCACACGTAAAAGGTAAAAGATAAGGGGAATAAAAAAGTGGAAGGAAGGTAGAAAATAAGTTGAAAGGTGATGTTTACTTTCAACTAAGACGTGGGTGAAAAAGTGAGTGTTGAAGGTAAACACTTTTGAAAGTCTGAATTCTTGAAAAATAGTCAAGAATTAATTCATATTAAACTAACAAGTTTCTTACGTGCAACTTCATTTTGTATGTTAATAAATAAATGGGGGATGAGCGTTGGAGGTTTCAATCCCAAAAGCTCCTCAAATTTCTTATATTAGGTAATTAAGCAATCGCTAAACCCCATTATAGAATGGATGGCCAAAGGCTAAAACTACAATATTTATATTAAATTAAGCTATATATGCAGCGCTAGTTCTACATTTAAGTATAAGGATAATTAGATTGTCATCTTTGAATACGATATATTATACAAGAAATAGTCTAAACTACTGTAAAATTGGGTCCTAATTTTGATATTTTACTTTATATATTCATAGCTAGGTATATTATTACTAAATTACAAACATATATATCTTTCTAGACATGACGTTGGTTTTCGTTTACTTATTATGTTAAATACCCTCTTAGTCACTGTGTTTAACATGAAATTTCAGTTTGGTTACTGAGAAAAAAATTTAGCCAAAAGCAATGCAAATGATATGCTCTTGCATAGGTTGCTCATAGGCCATAGGCTAAAACATTATGATAGGTTTAGCATCAAATAAGGTAAAAAATATGCTTTAACTAATTCATGTTAATAAGGTTTAATTAACCTCCTCAAATAGGTATACGACATAAAAACAATAGCAAATAGTAATAAAGATATCATTTTACGACAAAATAAGTTCATATCTCAACAATAGTTTCACAAAAAGGTAAATCCATATCTTCAAAAAAGCTCCAATTATAATCTAAACTTTTATCATGCGCGCTCACCAAAAAAGAAGTTCATAACAAAGTTGTAGGAATATAACATTTGCATGCTTTTTGGCTAACTTTTTTTCTCAATAACCAAATTGAAATTTCGTCTAAAACTCAGTGACCAGAAAAGAGTATCTAACCCAACCACTTAATAGAAACTAACCACAAGTCTATAAATTGTAAATTTCAGATAATACAGTGACCAATATGACTAAATTATTTTAATTTATTGTAAAAAAAAAAAAAAAAAAAAAAAAAAAAAAAAAAAAAAAAAAAAAAAAAAAAAAAAAATAAAAAA